TTTTTTTTTTTGCTTTTGAAATTTTAATTTTGCTAGAACAGGGCAACAGTTGGACAACAGTTCAATGTGCCACAGAAAATATACAGTAGCAAGTATTTACAATATTGCATAAAATGTACAGGAAAGATAAAATTACTAAGAAAACAATTTATATACACAAGTTTCTTTATAAATAAAATACTGAGACTAAATAAACTCTAAAAAGTTCAGTAATATCAGCTATCTGGCATTTCAAAGTATTCAACATTTACTTGATTTACCTTGAACAGAAACATGTACTTAAAAGAAGCCCTAATCTAAACCAGTCAATTTTCAGGAAGTTAAAATTCTAACAGTGCCACGGAGCAACATTTAAAATTGGAAAAGAAAAAGAAGCTAGAAAACCTTGTGGAGATGCTTCTTCCCCCTTTTTGGTTTCTTCATCTTCTACGCTTGGGCTTTCACGGGACGAATTCTCCTGCTGACTGTTGTTCTTCAGCAGGGCAGGATCTATTTGTGCTTTCAAGAGCTCGAGGGTCTCGGCGAGCTCATTTCGGTTTCTGGATGACAGAAGAAAAAACATATTGCCCAATAAGCCACTTACTCACCCCAAAGGGATTCATTAGAAAGAAACAAACGTCGTCTGCTTGAACGGGTGCTGTCCAGGAAACCATGGGTGTTACCTGGAAAACAAGAGTAGCCAAATCCTTGTCCTCTCGAAATGGCTGCAGTTTTGCACTCGTGGCTGCACTGCTTCCCAATTTATCCTTATTTTAATAAAATTACCTTATCGAGGAAGCTTAACCAACTTCACTCTCAAGTCCTGCTGGCCTGGATCCAAGCTGCTACTATTGCTCTTTCATTTGTTACTCTTACCAGTCTCCCCTGGTTTTACTTTGCAGTTTCATCTCTCTCAGTGGAAGACCTTGTAGTTTATTGCTCATGCACCAAAAAGGCAAGCCTACCATTCAAGGGAAAATTTCAAAAGCAATTAAATCACTCACGTACCTATAGAAGTACCCTATATATATTTAGTAAATACAAAACATCTAGAAAAATCCATCTACTTGACCTACAATAGGGAGAAAAACTTCACGCACTCCTATACATGTGAGTCTCAGTACACTGATTTAAACTAAATATCTAACTAGAAAAAAAGAGCCTTAATAGACTATTTGAGATCTGATTAACAGATCATAAGGGACTAGAATATTAAGGCTCTGGTATTACTCCTTTTCAAAAGTCAATACTCAGCGAAGTGTTTTATCCCAGTTTACAGAAGGGAGCCTGGCAGGTCAAACACGCGGATTTTTGTGGTTTTAAAACCCCGTCAAGTTTTAGACTCCATTATTGCTTTTTTCTGCTGTGAATGTGGAGCACCAGAATTTTCTCAGCAGAAACTCAATCCTCTCTACTTTTGGCACTGCACTCTGGAGTCTGCAATACATGAGACAAGATAGACACAGTTCAGCTCTGGGTTGATTTATTTATTTGATGTATTTACTTCACTCACATGCAACAGCTGTCTGGTTATTATTATGGTTATAAAATAATAACCCATCGATAGTGTTTTCAACAATTCTGTATTACCTCCCTGGTCATAAAAGTTCTGGATATGTAAATAAGCCACAGATAAAAATTAAAATGTACAAAGAGAAAAAAATGAAAAAAATACAGACAGCATTTGACTTTTTTTAGATCTACTTCTAGCTTTCTACTTAACTCATCATTATCAACTCCGAGTGAACACACACTTGGAACCAGTTTAAAAAAATGTAGATAGAGATAAACCAGAAATGGATCAAACTGATTATTTTCCACTAAGAAAGATCCCATGTATATTTTGCTTAGATAGGAAAGTGAAAACCAAGATATACAAAGCAAGAATCACACAAAACAAAACTTGCAGCCCAACGTATCATGAAAAGATTATCAGACCAAACTGAGACACAAGGGCACTGGCACATCTTGTGCCCTTGCACCATCTTGAGCCAAATTCTACTGCAGAAGGTCTCTGGTGCCTTCCTGCATGGACTGTGAACCATTTTCAGCTTCATGAGGTTAAAACTGCAGTGTGATCCTCCTAAGAGCAAACTGTCCACTGATGACTCTCCAGTTAACATGGAGCAATTGTCCTCAAGAGATTCCTCTGTTCATATTCTACAAATTGTAGCTTCATAGAGCAGAAAATCTATATATAATTTGTCTGTTATTGAACCAGGGAGATGTTTGTCCTCTTAATTAAGATGATCCACATTCTTTCACTAACATATACACTTAAATACAAAAAACACCATCATCTGTAATTCTACTCTGCGAAAAATGGAGACTGAAATAAATTTCTGAATCCCAGTCACAAATAATCACCTTATGACAAATAAAAACCAAGGGAAAAAAAAATGGAATACCTAACAATGCACTTCCAGGTGGATCCGTCCTGGTCATCCTGTTCTTCTATGTACATCCTGACATTATGTTCTTGATCCAGCTGGTACCAGTACATCAGGCCATCCTTGTCCCGCCCGATGGGCTGCAGACGCATCGCGTCCGCATCCTCCTCATTGATAATGTTCTTAAACTTTAGATTGTCATCAAACTGACATTCACAGAGATACTGAAACAAAGCAGAAAGTTGGGAGAATGAAAACATCAGTCTAAACAGAAATAACAATATCAGCTCATTTCCTTTTCAGTGTAACATGAAACTTCTTTTTAAACCACTCTTTAGGTGAGTTCACTACAGCTATTCACATTTCCAGGTTATGTTCTTTTACAATCAGAGATAACTTTTAGATTTTATCACTGGCGAGTTAAGAAAGACTTATTATTATTATTATATTTTGCTTATTTTTTACACAATATCAGTGATCTCATTCTAAAATAAGACACATAGAGAACACACAGAAGTTGAAACCAACCCTTCTAAGTTCCTCAAGGATCAAGAAGATGAAGTCCAGTCTTTGTCTGTGAACTTCAGATTAGCACATTTAATTGCAAGCTAGGAAGCATTTTATGAAGTGCACTCCACAGACAAATATATACTGCCATAAAACACTACCAACAAGAACAGTTTTGTATGAAGTGTTCCACTCAGCTTGGGCCTCTCCCACTCAAATCAATATCATGGCTGTTAAAAGATCAACTCCACATTTAGCACACCCAGCTATGGAGCAGTCAAGCTAAATTTGCAAGGCTTTAAAGTGTAAGAGAAAGCTAATCTGCAAGAGAGGAAAAGTCAGTCAAAATTTGACTTATGAATATGTACCTTCAGAATTCCCAGTTTGCATTCAACACTCATTTCTAAGTATCCTTTTTTCTCCATCTCCCAAGCCCAAGTGCTGTTGAATTCTTGGCATATCTGTCACAAACAGAATATTAAGATAATTAGGATTAGTGCATAAAAACAAGTCTCAACAATTACATATTAATAATACCTTAGTGTAATAATGACTATATATGATCTCTCAGAGCACTGAAAGTCCAAACGCCTCACATAAAAATAAAAAGTAAAACAAGGTAGGTCAGCAAGCCCCACTGATACTGGAAGAGTGTTGCTGAAGCTAGTGGTTGATCACCACCAACTTCTCTAGACCTCTTAAATGAGGTAGCACTACAATCAAGTGGGGAGTAACGAAGGCAACTCCTTGTCTTGCTGTGCAAAATCTCCCATTTTGGTTTCTTTGAGGTCTATTTGGCAAACAAGCTCCCTTGGGTAGATGTGTTTTCTTGTTACACGTCTTTGCAGCACTTACCACACAAGCCAACAGGCTCTCCTGGGGCCTCTGAGCCCTGCAAACTGCACTGCAGATAACAAAGGAACTGAGTCACTCCATGCTGTGAAATTAGTATTCTTTAGGAAATGCTAAATACTTTAAGCCTCAACCCATTTGATAAATATTTTAAAGTATTGTGAGAATAACCAACAAATTTACTAGAAATAAACTAAAACCCATCAATTTGGAAAAAAAAATGAAAAGAGTAGCAGTAAAAGGTGGACAGAATCAGTGGGAACTCCAAAAAATCACAGTGTAAAAGTAATTTCCTCTCCTCCCTGAACAGCTCCAAACGCTTAAAACAACTCTCACAAAAAGAGAGGAGATGTAAGCAAAAACACAACGTCTTATCAAGCGAGACACAGCAGTGGGATTTCCAATGGATGAGGCCATTCTAGTGGAAATATCCACTAAAATGGGACAGAAGTTAGTCATGAATATATCGAAAACAGTATTTTGAAGTGCCACTGTTAATTCACGACTGTCCGAATTAGCAGGCAAAGTACTGCTACATTTTAGTCTGCAAGGAACCAAATCCTGCTGGATGTACAATCACAGCAACGTAGTCTTCCCATTGCTGGGAGGAGCTAAATAAAGCTAAGGAAAAAATAAACTAAGCCTGTAAACCCTGTCTGAAAACCGCTTTTCCTGGAAAGAGCAGCAGCAATAACCCTAAAATTCACCAGCCTGAAGCACAACCTAAATTGACCCAATGGTAAGCTAGTTAAGGGAGCCAAAATGAGAAGACTATTTCTCTTTTTCCTTTGGGGAGTTATGGTTTCTGCTGGTTTTATCCCTGCACTTTCTCACTCCGGGGTGAGAGAGGCATCCCTGTGAGCACATGGTAGAGGTTCAGGTCTGCACAGCAAAAGGGAAGCTCTGGACCCCCTTGCTGGCCCAGCCTGCAATTAGACCCGCTCAGCTCCACCAGAAATCGGAATTTAAACTATATTTATGGTGTGTGTAGACTTCCCTTGCATAAAACCAAAGCTCATAAGGGAGACACTTGCTCACCACTAACAAAACCAGGTTATTCTGCCTTTGCTCCTTCCTCCCTTTCAACATGACAAACAGATGTATATGAAAACCCTTGGTATAAGGGCACATGAGAGACATAAGAGCTGATGAAACATCTGCTCAGAGATGGCCACATTTTGAGATGCTGCTTTTTACAGACAACTACTGCCACAGCCCTAAAAGAAAGATCTCAGTGATTCAGGCTCCGCTGAAACGTTGGTTCTGCCTTCACAGAGGGGACATGTCGACCACTCAAAAACCTGCTGCTTGAAGGAACAGATGGTTTCTGTATGCTCATGAGTGGTCAGTATTTTCCCACCCTGTAAAAAGAGGTCATACATAACTCTAAAATATTTCTAAAGCAGCTACGTGGGCATCTGACACTTACTACTACCATGCTCCAATGTTCACTGTAGACAACAGAAACAGGAGGGTGAGAGACACAGCAGAGAGCCTGCCCGGGTGGGACTCTGGACACCTGAACTCTAACAACTGGAGAGGAAAAGAGTGCTCAGAAAGAGCCCTCTGAAGGGCGAGGGATCCAGCTCGACCAGAGCCCTCCTATCTGCACAAAAACCACAAGCTACGTTTGACAAAAGCAGTTTTATGGCAAGTGACAAGCCCGAGTCGAGCGAAAGACTTGCTCAGCGCAGCCGCAGTGAATTCAGCCGTGGGTTTCTCATGAACAGCCAGGCTGGACCGTTCCCCTTAGCTGTTGCCATTGACAAGCAGAGTATTTTTATCCCAGACCCACCTGAGCACGTGGACTCGCTGCATGGAGGAGCACAGGCAGCTCCCCGAGCCCTGCAGCCATCTCCTTCCCTGCTCAACCACCCTGACAGCTCCACCAGCAACACGGGCGAGGAAAGAACCCGGCTGCCACGTGAGCTCGCTAGCACAAAACAAATTGGGCTGTCGAAAGACCACGTTAGCTTCCTGCCACAAATTCAGCTGCTCAAATCCCAGTCACTGCTTAGGGAGAGTATTTTATGCCCGCCCTTTAAAGCAGGGCGGTCGGATAAGGCTTAAGTTATAGAAATTTGGCATACAAAACATACTAGCAATGTATCTTTTACATATGTATGCACATCTACACACATTTTGGGGAGTGTATGAATTGGAATGTCCTCCTATTTCCCTCCCATATAGTAAAAGAAGTTGGTTGCATCCAGAATGCATTACCCAAACTTGAGCAACAGCAACATACCAAGAGCTTCTAGTAGTGGAAAAAGAGGTCAAGGCTGCCTTTTAAGAGCATGTCAAATACTACTACAGACAGCTGCTGAGAGCACTCTCAAACCTTCTATAACTTTGCAGGTTTCCCTGTGTTTTGTGGCATCTTCTGATGCTCTTTGTTGTTTTTCTAAATGACTCCCATTACTTATATTCCATTTTTTTTTTGGCCTCATGATTCCTTTGAGCTACAGGCTATAAGAAATTGCCAGGTACCTTTGGAGTCTGGTAAACGAAGCTGAATTTATCACTGCTTAATCGGGACAACTGTTAACATGTTTACACTGTCTTAATGGGGATAATTTAAGGGGATAGTGGGAGAGTTTCCCTATTTTCCTGTCCTTGCAATGCAGTTTTCCAGACTACCCCCTTGTCAACTTGCTTTCTCCCTCTGCTTTCTGCTTTTCCCACATCTGCTCCAACAGGGTATCTAAGTTCACTAGGCAGAGTTGTGATTTCTCATCTTTGAGGTATATAAAGGAATTTAAGACAGTACTTAGTAATACATAAGTCACACAGATGCTATATATAGATGACTGTATGTTATTATTTTAAAGCATCATCGTAAATGCTTTACAACTCTAATACTTCAAAATCTACAGAATTCAGTTAGGGAGTGAGATTTAATGCAAGGCCTTTCAGCAGGTTGTTTCCTGACACCCTGCCAGTCCTCTATCCATCATCATCTTAAGACTACACAAACCTCTTGGCAAATTCCTAACTCTGTGAGGCTTCTGGACAGCACCAAGGGGACAACCTGTGACTGGATCTTCCAGGAACTATAATTACTACAGCTGCTATTGCCATAATGCCTGTATTTCCACATATTCTTAGCAAGATGACAATATCATGACTTTTTTTTTCTTTTTTTGGAATAGAAAATATTAATCGAGATACCTAGAAGGGAAAGGCTAATTTATTAATTTTGAATATTTGCATATTTTCCTTTTCTGAAGCAGTGCAACTTCTTTAAGCTAAAAACCGCTTGCATGTAAGATGCCCAGGAAAGTATACCCACAATTAAAATATCAGCATAGAATTATCTCTGCCAGTAGAGCAAGGAGATGACAATAAAGCAATGGGATGCTGCATTTTTAGATTTGTAAGTTAGTTGTTTATAAATAATTACATTGCCATCCTTTTTGTACAATTCTGAGCATGCCAATATAAATCACTGTGATATTTTCGTTTCTTATTAACACACCAGAAGAGAATTCCTGTATGGTCAGCCCCTGTAGTGATATTAACCAAGTGATAATGATTAAATCACACTCAAAAACTTGCTGTACAGATGCATATTTGCGACGGAAATCCGTTTAATTTAGCTTGTTAGTGGGCTAAGAAATCTAATTCTATGGGGAAGGCTTTGAGCCCTCCCCAAACATGTCATGAGCAAGGATGAAGCTACGTGCTCTTTTACATGCAAAATATATTGTCAACTTCCAGAGATTTATGTATTAGATGGGCAGAAAGATTGAACCTAGGCAGGCAGAAAGTTAAGCTGGGTTCTTATGCAACTGGGGCCTGGGCAAGCACAGCAGTGTTGACCACAGCAGAGCCCCAGGCTCGCTGCAACTCGCAGCAGGGGCTGCTGACACAACAGCTCATCACTCGTCACCATTCCAGCAGTGCACAACAACACGACACACGTATTGTACCTTGATCAAATACTTCTCCCATCTGTCTGCCGTGACAGACTTCCCAATCTTTCTCATCAGTTTCAGGTGAAGCTCCACCAATTCTTTTGGAACTGCAGCATCGAGAGAAGGGGGGAAAAAAAAAGAAGAGGTTATAAAGGCTGATGTAAATACACTGCAATGCTAAAGACTGGCAACTTTGAAATGCTGCAACAAATGGTGTGGTTTTAACAAAATGTAACTTCAAGTCAATATAGGAGCCATTCCATAATAAGAAAACAAAGGAAAACGGGAATACTTACATGGGTCCTTTATAGTTTAGATTTACAACCTTGCCCATCCCGTGCCCTCCCTCACATCCCAGTAATAAATCCGCAGCAATCCCAGCAGCATTTGCAGAACAAC